CTGTAGAGTTGGTATTGACAAAGAAACCAGGAAGCAAATTGGACAGAAGCACAAAGAAAAGAGAAAACAAGGACCATTTAGAGGACTGGTTGTGGTTCAGTATTACTGAGGTGTGAAGTATAAAGGAGCAGGGGCTAGAAGGAGGGTTAATACCTTGGATTTGATTCCATTTGTGGGAGCCACAGAAGAATATTCAACAAGAGGGTGAGACATACTCAGAATTGAGTGTTCGATTGCTCTGGAAACAGTGGTTGGAGGGAACATTGCTAAAACAGAGGAGACTAGTGCCCCTGAGACATGATGTCAGCCTAAGGTAAATCTGTGGCATTGGGATGGAGAGAGATGGTAGGTGTAAATTTTTTTCCCCAGGGTGGGGATAGAATTGTCACATATCAATTGAACAGATTTGGAGCAAGGTTGAAACATCTGTAAATATTTTGGAGTGTAGACCTTCAACTGAGGAAATGTGAGTGAATAATTTAATTTGGGGACCAGGGAGGAATATGTGGTGGTAGTAGGGAGGAGGGATGACATGAGGGTTAGGAAAATTCTTGACATGTTTATTTTCCCAAAAGAAAAAATTTGATTTTTGTTTTACTCATTCTAACATTATGAGTTGTAAGTGTGTTACTGATTTGAATGAACATTACTTGAATTTAAAAAATGTTACCACTCAATGTTCATTTAAAAAAAATATATATTTTTATTGATTTTAGAGAGGAAGGGGGAAGGAGAGAGACATAAAAACATCAGTGATGAGAGAGAATCATTGATTGTCTGCCTCCTGCACACCCCTTACTGGGGATTAAGCCTGCAACCCAGGCATGTGATCTCACTTGGAATCAAACCATGACCTCCTGGTTCATAGGTTGATGCTCAACCACTGAACCACACCAGTTGGTTTGTTTGTTTGTTTGTTTGTTTGTTTTTAAGATCCATTATCTGCAGTAGTGGCTTTCAAACTTCAGTGTCATCAGAATCACTTGGAGGTCCTACTAAAATAAGATTGCTCAGCCCTGTTGTTCCTGGAGCCCCTAGACCTGGGACAGCCTGAATTTGTAATTCTAACACATTCCCAAATGATGATGTTGCTGGTCCAAGGACCACCCTTTGAGTATTACTGCTTCTCACTTTTTCTGCTGCTTCCTGCTTGAATGATTCACATGCAAGGAAACAAGGCACCACCCTGCTTCCTGAAGAGTAGATTGTACTCTCGAATAGTATTTGTCCACATAGGAACCAGACTTCCATCTAGGGTTGAATATCCAGATGTGAAATAAATGTATTTTTTGCTTATTATAGGTACTCAAATGTTTGTGGAAGGAACAAAAGCACAAATGAGAGTGTAAACTGTAGAATGTGTAAATTTTAGAGGCAGTTACTTGCTCAGTATAAAAACAATATCGATAATCTGTTTGGAGTTGTCTTTAAGACCATTTGGCTCCTTGTACTTGGTTCATTTTCCTTAATGGATATCTCTTCACTCTAAGAGCTACTTTCTTGGCTTGCTTTAGTTGAAGGACTTAAAAAAACAACAACACAGTTTTTTAGTTCTTTTTATTATCTCCAAATATCCCCTTCTCACAGTTTTAACAGTTTGATGATTTACTCTTTGTTTTTCAAGCCAAAGGGCTCATTTGCCTACTATGTTCAGCCTAGTAATTTGCTTGGCAAGATGAGTCCGACTATGGTAAAAAAGCACTTCTCTATCTTTGGGTACAAAAATGGGTACAGCCCTTGCTGATTTGGCTCTGGATAGAGACTGAAGGGTCCCGGATTTGATCCCAGCCAAGGGCACATGACCAGGTTGTGGGCTCAGTGGGAGGCATGCAGTAAGCAATCAATGATTCTCTCTCATTGATGTTTCTATCTCTCTCCCTTGCCCTTCCTCTCTGAAATCAATAAAAATATGTATTTAAAGAAAATGGGTATGAACATCAATAAGGTTGGAGCCTTTAATAAGAGTTTTTAGTGATTGCAGTTGGTGATGTGTTGTCAGTTAGAAGGCATTTTACCATTCTACACATCCCATTGTTACTGCTGAGTTGACTGTAGAGATTAGCTTTAAAGACTCATAAAAATATAAGTGCTATATGCAAAATAAAAAAGATAAGATGAACATGATTATGATTGTTGAGATGATCCCAGGAGGTGTTAAATTAGTTTTTAAAAATTGAGAAAAACAGCCTAGCCGGTTTGGCTCAGTGGATAGAGTGTCGGTCTATGGACTCAAGAGTCCCAGGTTCGATTCCGGTCATGTACCTTGGTTGTGGGCATATCCTCAGTGAGGGGTGTGCAGGAGGCAGCTGATCAATGTTTCTCTCTCATTGATGTTTCTAACTCTATCCCTCTTCCTCTCTGTAAAAAATAAATAAAATATATTTAAACAAAAAAATGTAGTAAAACACTTATGTTCACTTTCTACCAAATAGATAATTATCTGGGGAAATTGTGAAGTGTCCATTACTAAAGATATACTTGAAATAGATATCCATCATGGTTGGAAGAAGCTTTCTATCTTGCTGTAGTACTGGAGTGAAACAGATGACCCACTAGCTCAAGACTGCCTGGGTGGCTTTAAAAACAGTTGAAAGTTATGATATAAGAACTTAAAATTTTTATTTATTTATCAAATAATCTAACTGAAATATTTTCCTTTGTAGTTCTTTATTGATTTTGGAGAGGGGGGGAGGGAAGAGAGAGATAAATATCGATTTATTGTTCCAATCAGTTGATTCTTGTATGTGCCCTGAATGGGCATCAAACCTCCAACCTTGGCGTATTGGGATGACTCTAACCAACTGAGCTATCTGACCAGGGCCTTCCTTTGTAGTCTTAACTACCTGGGCATTCCATTACTCCACTGCTAATGTCATCTATGATATTCTGAGGGTAGTGGTCATCAATATTGCAGTCTCCAGGGTCTCTTTAAGGTTCCAGAGAGTTCTCTAGCTAAAAGTTGACAATCTCATCAAAAGTGGTATTTTCACTGTGCTTAATGTTATTTGCTTCTTTCTGCCTCTTGCTTTGATGATCAGGGCAGATACAGAAGGTACTACTCAGTCTGGGCCTCTGTGTTCTGAATGGCCAGTTTCATTGTAGTTCTTAGACCCTTCCAATCACTGGTTGCTTTGGTGATGCCATCACCAAACTTTTTTGGAGTCAGACCCACGGAGTCTATATTGGGGGCCAGGACAAACACGGCACTGACTTCCTCACCAGTGTAATTCAAGTAAATGATTGTGATCTTATTGCGTTGAACTTGGGCAGCATGGGGCACATGGCTGGCTGGGATGAACCTGGCTTCTGGGTGACTGAAGAAAGGCTTATAGGCCCCCTCCGAGTCAAAAACCAAAAGATATATGGACTTTTTACAATCAAAGGTTTAAAAAAGCAAACATACAGACAGTGTTTATACAGAAATGCCTGACGAAAGTTTGGGTGAAGCTACTGATGTTACTAAGCTTTTCTGAGGAACTGTGAGATATGGTAATCTCATTTTAGACATTTCATAATTCTGGCTCCAGGTTTCTCCATGATGCAGTTTTAGCAGTCTTGTGAAAAGAGAACAAGATAGTTTTATGGTTCATAATACTACCTAAATTTTTAAGAATGCTATGATTTCTTGGTGGACATGATTCATTCAGGTTAGGCCCGTGGTTGGCAAACTGCGGCTCTGGCCCCTTGAGTGTGGCTCTGCCACAAAATGCCATAGCCTGGGCAAGTCTATTTTGAAGAATTGGCGTTAGAAGTTTACATTTAAAAAATTTGGCTCAAAAGAAATTTCAGTCGTTGTACTGTTGATATTTGGCTCTGCTGACTAATGAGTTTGCCGACCACTGGCTTAGGCAGTTTGTCTTGAAGTGGCTTTATGATGATAGGATAGGTATGCTTTTGACACATTTTGAGACAATTGTAGTGACCTAGTTGAATTTATAGTAGGCCAGATATGACTAATTTTTGAAACTGGCTTCATTTCTGCAGGCAGCACTAGTTTTCAGAACTGGCATGTCCTCTGGTAACTCCAGCAGCGTGAAGTGGCTGCAGGCACTGCAGCTGCTCAGTCTCTGTCTAGCCTGAGCCCAAATACTTTAAGGCATTTGTTTTTTTCCTGGTGGTTTTAGTTTGACTGTGTTTAGATGTATTTTTTAATTATGTCAAGAAGAAAAAAAACACACTATTAGAAGCATGGTGGAATGGGGAAGAATATTGGGTGTCTTAAAGCTTCTTAATTTATGGTTCAAGAAACTAAGGAGATCTCTGTAAAGTACTAATACTTGAGGTCATTAACTCCCCCCCAAAAAAAACAAAACAAAAAAACCCACCTTTTCAAAATATCCCATAAAACATCCTCTGGGAGAAAAGTCAAGTCCTTGATGACACTCCCTGTATATTGGAATAAGGAACATGCATCGACCCTAGGACAGTATTCCTGATGAGTACTGGAGTGGGGGCATTCTGCTGCAGCATTCTATTTTGACTTCAACCAACAATTGAAATGTTCCCCCCTTTTCATTGCAGGTGTTTCTTCTATCATAATTGAACTCAGCTATTCCCTGTTCAAATCAACATCTCAAATTTCTCTCTGGCAGATTGCCAAGTACTATTCATATGTGCTCCCTAATTAGTGGTGTTCTTGTGTTTTTCCTCCCATTTTTGAAAATAGTCACAGATGGCCAGTGCCCTCAGGGATTCAGGTAGGCTGCATTTGGCCTTATGGTGTTTCTGTAGTAACTTACCTTGCTCAATAAATGGTTTAGACTTTTGAAACATTATAACAGTTGGCAGTCGCTGTAGACTTTTCCTAGCATAATTAATGTTGGCCTGCTGTTAGGTACATGCAAGTTTATTCTCATTTGATCTTGTCATTTCAAATATTTTAATACAATTTATTCTTTAACTAGGTACATGTGAAGATTTCTTGGCTGGGTAGAGTGGAAACCATTGATTGTCGTGCCCTCATTTCTGCCTCTTCTGTGTTGGCAAGAGAGAGTGCCCAAATGAGCAAGATATCGCAGCAGAACAGTACTCCAGGAGTGAACGGAATAAGTGTTATTCATACTCCAGCTCATGCCAGCGGCTTACAGCAGGTTCCTCAGCTGGTGCCCGCTGGCCCTGGGGGAGGGGGTAAGGCTGTGCCTCCAAGCAAGCAAAGTAAAAAGAGTTCACCCATGGATCGAAACAGTGATGAGTATCGACAACGCAGAGAGAGGAACAACATGGCTGTGAAAAAGAGTCGGTTGAAAAGCAAGCAGAAAGCACAGGATACCCTGCAGAGAGTGAATCAGCTCAAAGAAGAGAATGAACGGTTGGAAGCAAAAATTAAATTGCTGACTAAGGAATTAAGTGTACTGAAAGATTTGTTTCTTGAGCATGCACACAACCTTGCAGACAACGTGCAACCTAGTAGCACTGAAAATATGACAAGTTCTGATAATGCAGGACAGTAGACTGCACCCCTTCCCAACTTCACAACTGTGGCTTGAACATGACGACCTACACCACTCATATCAATGGCTGAACATTCCCAAAGAGCCATTGAAGGTTGTTTTCTAGGATCAGCACTGAAGAGTTAATTAGCTAAAATTGTTAGCCATGTAATTTAAATTTCTGGTTTTAAATGATATTGGGATAAAGAAACACATTTTTAAGGTATTTGGTAAAAAAAAAAAAAGTCCCAGACCTGGATATTCTTAATAAATCCTGACTTAACCAAGAAATGCTTTTTTTAAAGGTTGACAAAAGGAATGAGGAATTGGCAGGTCATGCAGAAGGTTCTGGATTTTAGTGGAAATGATTAATTGGATTAAGAAAAGTTGAATGCTGTTTGTGATAATCTATTTGTGATTTTATTCTAAATTATGAATTAAAAATCCTTAGGGCTATAGAAACCAGCCGCTTTGTAATTGGGAATGATGTGATATAGCATAAACCTTAGTTTAGCATAGGTCGTACTGTTTCCCCAACAAGTACAGGTTTTTGAGTAGCAGTGTCAGGTTAAGTAAAGGCAGTATGCAGCCATTTGGTTTAAAAATATAACACTTAGAGAGCAAATAGGTTTTTAAGAAATAAAAATAAAGAATAGTAGAATTATGCTTTTGGGATACCTTTGGGTTATTGGATTGGCATTTCTTAGCGTCCTTTAAGAAAACTCCATCAAACAACTCAGTAGTTTAGAGAAACTTATGTACTAAAATTTTAGTTTTTGCAGATGCTAGTAAAGGAAGCATTTTTAAAAAATACTTTTTTGACAGCCAAATTAGTAAAGAAAAAGTCTTAGTAGTTTGATCACAGAAGCTACTGATTAGTATTTGGAATAACAATCCAGCAGGTATTTTCACCTGTGTTGAAATATCTGCCATAGGGCTATGAGTTTTAAAGGCAAAAACTTCTTATAAAAGATTATTTGATATTTGAACTTAACCAAGTGATTATTAGAAAAATGGATCATCAACTCCCAAAACTATAATCTAAGAAAACTTGAAAGTATAAGGTTTAACCTTTAATTTATTTCACTTAAATGCATCTTTTTATATTTTTATGATATTTCTTTTTCTAGTTATTGAGCTGTTCTTCCACACTTTTTGTACCACTGCTTCTGTTTAGTTATTTGTATACTTTTATATCCCATAAATTATTTTAGAAAGAAAATACTGATAAAACTCAGGATATTGACATTTTTGTTGAGACTAAAAAACATGGCAATCACTCAAGTCCGGAATCGCTAGTCTGGTTTTAGACTAATGTGGGTAGTTTTTTATTGTCCTTGTCGATGTTCTGTTTTTTTTTTTTTAATCAGCACAATTCTAGCTAAACTTGGTTTTGTTGTTTTTTTCCCCCTCTCTCTGTGCATATCTGTGTTTGTTTTGTGTGTGTGTACACGTACCTGGGCTGGTGACGAGACTGAGTCCCATCTGATTAAAAAATTAGTGTTACCAGGTATCTCATTTGAACTTGGTTTTTTTGGGCCACATTGCTGTTTCATACTAGGTCCTGGGACAGTGCAACCAGCATGTAACTCAAGTTGTCCCTTGGATTGGTGGAAGAGTGCAGTCTGTGCTCTTCTCCTGGGCAGAAGACATCACAGCGCCCTGAAACTCGCAAAACCGTTAATGAGGCCATGAGCACCATTTGCAAGTGACAGGAGCCCACTATTGTGCCATGAGAGCCACTGTCCCAGGAGGGTTTACTCCCTATAGAGCCAGGAGACAGAATAGGGGCTTCCATTAGGGTCCAACACCAGTTTACTTTGGGTTGGAGTGTTGACCTACTGGTAGTGGGTGTTTTGAATAACGAACTAGGATAGCGGTTACCAACCGGTGGTCTGTGGAAAGGTTGGCAACTGCTGAACTAGGAGATACCCACAGATCCTACTGAATCTTTAATAGCTGATCAATGTTATATAATTAATCTAATTGGAGATGCAGTTAGGTCTTGAATCCTTAAGCAGCTATGATAGGTGTTACAGACTTTAATATCTTATTTACTAAAAAATATCTTTCAGAAATTGATGTCACCATGGAATTAATGGTTACCAGTTATGTGAATTAACTCTTAGAAAAGAAGCTTTAGGAAAGTCATTAGGAGTGTGTACTCAATATTTCAAATCATTGGAATACTGGAAATTTGGAAAAATGGGCTCAAGCTTTCTTGTTACTTATGCAAAATTAAAACGAGCACAAGCAATCCTTTGTGCATAGGACAAAATGTTAACCATTGTCTTGACTATGTTACTGAAGTGTTTGGGAATGAAAGTTTTTAGTTTGATAGATTTATCAGTATAAAATTGAGGTTAATCAAGTGTAGGGAATGGTAAGTTTAGAGCTTTGGGAACTATAAAATGACTTTTGTAATGTTTGTTCTGTAGGTTACTTGTGAACCATTAGGATTTGATCTGCCTTTGCTGGCAGGTCCAGGCGTTTAGGAATTAGGCTTAAGTATATAAATTCCTAGCTGTACCCCTACTCTCCCGGGATGGGTGCTTTCTGATGGGTCTTGGCTGCAGGTGGTGAGGTCAAGAGCAGCTCTTTCTGGTGTCTGGCCCCTTTCAGTTTTTTGGGGTATAAGCTAAGATACTTCGGACATTCTTAGTAAGAAGTAAGATTTTAATAAAATATGACCAGAAAATGGTCACATGACCAGTCATGAATGCGAAAGTCTCAAATTTACATTAAAAAGTAGAAGTATGTACAATACAATATTTAATGATAAAGGAAATTGAACCAGTTTTTGATATTTCTTAATCCCCAGTAGAGGGCTTGAAGCTATGAACCTGAACAACCCTATTAGCACTCAAGTGCTTTTTGATGCCTTAGAAATAGGAAAAAAAATTTTTTGTTTGACAAAAGCTACGAAGGAGAAAGTCCATTCTACAGCTGTTAGATCTGCTTCTCAGGAAAAAGTACTTAACTTGTTCTTTTTGTTCTGGCTTTCCTCAGTTTGTGAGAATACTCTATTTTTTTAAATATAATTTTATTTCTTTCAATGAATTTGAAATAAAAAAAACTTTGGAATAATGACTATTTCATTGTGGGTTTCTTTACACCAAGAAAATGTCCAAATGTTAAACAGCTCTGAAGAGCAGGCAGGTACCCTGCCGTCTCCTGTTCCCAGCAGGCTGAGGTTGGGGTGGGAGAGACAAGGAGGGGTATTTTGCCCAAGTTTAGGTTTCATTTAATGGATAGGAATATAGTTTTCTGTGAATATAGAATGCTCTTTATTATATTCTTTATTACCTAGTTTAACCTAGAAATGTATATTAGAATAGAGAAAGCAATAACCGGTGTTCCCACTGAGACAGTAATTTTAGTTGTAGGTCCTTACTATTCATCACTGAATGTTTCTTGCCACTCCCTTCTGGTTCCCATTTAGAGTGGTAGGAAATTTGTTCATAACATAGGAATGTCAAATTGAGGCTTTCCCCTTAACGATGCAATTTATGGTCTGTATATGTAGTCTTCATTAACATGATGCCATCGAGTATCTATAGAAATGAATGCATAAATAGAGTCCAATAAGCTGGCTTGAATGTTTCAAGAGAAGATTCATTTAGATACATTTCTTTTATGATTCTTCAATTATTTGTGTCTTGGGAAATATCTACTTATTGCTTCTTAATGAAAATTACAGTATAATTATTTCTATGGGTAATATGTCTCATCATTTTTATGAATTAGTTGTAATTTAGAATCCAGTATCTTAGGGAATTTTATGGACTTAATTTGTGATGGTGCCAGGTCTTTTTATTTTTTAAATCTTTATTATTGAGAGTATCATAGAGATCTCCCCTTCCCACCTCCCATCCAGTTTCTACTCCACCCCAGACCTTCACCCTCCCTACTGTCTGTGTCCATAGGTAAGACCTTTGGGTAATCTCTTCCCACCCCACCCCCTTCCCTCTGAGATTCGTCAGTCTGTTCCGTGCTTCCATATCTCTTGATTTTATTTTATTCACATTTATTTTGTTCATTAGATTTCTTGTTCATTTATATTGATTTTTAGATTCAATTGTTGATGGATATGTATTTGTTGCCATTTTATTGTTCATTTTTTTAATCCTTCTTCCTCTTCCTCTTAAAGAATACCCTTCAACATGGTTTGGTGGCAATGAACTCCTCTAGCTTTTTCTTGTTTGTGAAGCTCTTTATCTGACCTTCAATTCTAAATGAGATCTTTAATGGGTAATCTTGGTTGTAGTTTCTTACTGTTAATCACTTTGAATATTTCTTGCTTTTCTCTTCTGGCCTGCAAAGTTTTGTTGAGAAATCAGCTGACAGTTGTATGGGTACTACCTTGCAGGTAACTAACTGCTTTTCTCTTGTTGCTTATAAGATTCTCTCTTTGTCTTTAGCCTTTGGCATTTTAATTATGATGTGTCTTGGTGTGGGCCTCTTTGGTTTTCTTTTGTTTGGGATTCTCTACCCTTCCTGGATTTGTAAGTCTATTTCTTTCACCAGGTAGGGGAAGTTTTCTGTCATTATTTCTTCAAATAGGTTTTCAATATCTTTCTCACTCCCTTCTCCTGGCAACCCCATAATGTGAATGTTGGTACGCTTGAAGTTGTCCCAGAGGCTCCTTACTCTATCTTCATATTTTTGGATTTTTTTTTCTTTTTGCTCTTCTGATTGGGTGTTTTTTTCTTCCTCATATTCCAAATCATTGATTTGATTCTTGGAATCTTCTACTCTACTGTTGATTCCCTGTAAATTATTCTTTATTTCAGTAGTGTATGCTTACTTTCTGACTGTTCCCATTTCATGTCTTTGACATCCTCATTCAGATCCTTGAAAGTCTCATGAATATCCTTGAGTAACCTCATAACCATGATTTTGAAGTCTGTTCCTAGTAGTTTGCTTGCTTCAATTTCTTTCATTTGTGATGTTTGTCTTTGCATTTTGGCTGCTTCCCTGTGTTTGTGTCTGTGTTAGGTAGAGCTACTACGTTTGCTGGA